TGAATTAGGTAGATGTAAACAATGCCGATCTTTTGGAGGGGGTAAGCTAAAATGCCCACTTTTTTGTCAAAATTTTTAGTGAGAATGGCAAAAAGCGAAAAACACAAAGAAGACCACTAGCATATATTCAAAAGAGTGTGAGTTCTAAAGACATCAACAGGTGTTCCACAAGACTAAGTTTTTTTAGTGAGTAATAAACTCTGGGCTTGTTGGCAGATAGCGTATAAGAACTATTTCTAAACGACAAGTGTCGTGCTGCCGTAAGTGATAAACTCTGAGCTTATCAGCAAGTAGCATATGAGAACTATCTCTAAATGACAAGTGCGGTTCTTCTTATGCTCTTTTTCCACGTTTTACTTTTTCCTTGCAGTACGTTACTGTTTTTTAGTCAAAAAGTTTTTTAGAAAAATATGGTCCAGATGATTATCAGAAAGAGTTGTTCAATTTTGGATTAAGTTGTATTAGAGATCTTTGAAGTTCTTCAAAGAGGCTTATTAAATTCAAAGCCAGATATGCTGTTATTGAGATGTAGTGTATTCAATAACAGATTTGTTTTTTTTTCTTTTATAACAAATAAATCTTAGAAGTTTAATTGAGTCTATTTGGCATATAACACCTGTTATACAATCTATATTTACTATTAAAAAGAAAAATAAAACAAAATATACTACTCAATCTGAGTTATTAATAAATATTATTTACAAATAATAGATTTGCAACACAGTAGCAATACTAGTAGTACTAGATTCTATAATTTAACTAGTTAAATTATTAAAAAATAGATATTAAGTACAGTAATATATAATCTAATTCTACAATAATTCTAACTTAATACTAGTTATACTATGTTAGTAAAGTTATAGCTGTGTTGATAATATTGTATTGATAGCAATTTATTTAAAATAATAGTAGATAATATACTTTTTAACTAATTAGTATTTACAATATAATAATAAAGTTAAATTCTAATTAGCTAAAAAATATTTATAACTAAGTTCAAGTACTTAGTTCTAAACCAATATTGATAGAATTATTTATTATTTTATATAAACACTATCCAAAGTTGTCAGCAAATTTATCAAAGCTATGCTCTTGAACCTAGTCTAAAAGTCTATGTAGCAGAACTTACAAATCCTAGAGACCTAGACTAACTTTGACATCTCTAATAAAAACACTATTAACTAAATTTTTAAAAATCAAATTAAATAATTCAATAGTTCTCAACATTTTATTATTTAATTCTAATTTTGTACTCTAAAAAAATTTGTTTAACATATAAAAATACACCATACTAGTATATTTAATTAAAAATTTAATTTGAGGTTTTTTGATCAAAAAATTTAAAATTAAATATCTTTGCTTAAATTTTTTAAAATTATAAACTAATTATACTGATATAATGTACTTATTTTTATATGATGAATAAGTTTTTTTAGAATACAAAGTTAGAATCAATTAATAAAAATATCATAGCATTATAAAATTATATAAAATATTATAATTCTCAAAATTTTACTAACTTTGTGCTCTAAGAAAACTTGTTCAGCTCCCAAAAATACTTTGCAGACTTCGTCAAACTTGATTAAAATTTTGAAAATATTAAAATCTGAGTCTGGTTCGAAAACCAGACCAGCCTCAACAAAAGTACTATACTTATAATAAAAAATAACTTATATAAAAAGAATTTTTTTTTTTCAAAAAAAAAAAGCATAGTTAATTTAACTTTGGATTTTTAAAATACTGTATATACAGTATATACAATACTGTACGTATTTCTAAATTTTATATTCTCAAATAAGAACTTTTAAATATTGTTCTCAATATTTTTAATGTTTCGAAAACCCTTCATGTTCATATCGGTATAACATTGTATTTGCAATACAATTTTATTTTTTATTTCTTACCGTATCAGATATATATATAGTCCGTCATTTAACGACTGACTTAATATCTAGTTTGTATTAACTTGAAATATTTTAACGTCAACTTTCGTGTCAATTATTCAAGGTGCAATTAATATAATAAAAATTTTACAAAAAAAGGTTTATTGGTGCTAGTATATATATCTAAACACTTAAATCTCAATGTTTAAATTGCATTTTCAATTGTTTTGCGATATTTGTTAGCAAATAACAAAATCAAAAACTCGTAAAATGCATAAAGAGTTATAAAACGCTTTGCTTCCCTTTATAAAAAATCAAAAGTATTCATAATTAAATAACGATAACAAAAGCAGTTTAGTTTTTTTTTTTTTTTTTTTTTTGTGGCAGCACTGTATTTCGCTTTAGAGCTGTATTTCACTTTATCAGACGTCCAATCACAACTTCGAGGGAATATTTCCACCAGAATTTTTTAGTTCAACCGCTGCAGATGCGACACAAATGACGTCTCGTTCAACGACGCGTGTTTGAAAGATGATTTTATTTCCTTCCTGTTTTTATATTTTCGATGCAAAACTATTTAATAATTACTCACAAAGTGAATAAGAATTTAAAACAAATAAAATTTAATCTGACCTTCCACATTTGTGTTTCAAGCGTTTCGCCAGGAAAGACCGGTGAAGCAAGCCGACCTTTTATGCTCTTAAAATTGTTAGGATCGTTGTTACAATACTTTGTATATATATGCTTGCCAGATATACCATAAGTACACATTCCATGAAGAATTGGTACTTCAAAACCACCCATCGCAGACATATTGGGGTCGATATGCAATGGATTATAATCACCACTTAGGCGATATAGGCCAGCTTGTGACTCAAGAGTTTTTTCTTGTACCGTTGCATCCGGGGGACGGTTTGGTGGTTTATTTGGCGCTGTAGCTGCACCTCGATCCTCACCGGTTTTCTTACCACCAAAGCCGCCAATTCCACGTATAAATAAGGTAGATTCATTTTCAAATACGATTTCACCTTTTTCATCTCTGGTAGTTATACCAAGGGTTATTGACACACCTTTTCCTTTATCAAGAATATCAACGACACGTGGCGTTGAGATTAATTTGCCAGAGGTTGGAATAGGTTTCTTGAGTTCAAGATATTGTTCACCATGCAATAGCTTCATCTATTAAAATAAACGTAAATAATAAATAAATATGCTTGATTAAGGCATACAAATTCTAGTAATCATAATTTTTATTAGAATACGTACGAAATTGAAGTCGCCCAATATTGACGTAAGAGGGAAAGCAGACAAACTATTAACTGCCGGAATAACACCATAAGTTGGTAGGACATGAAAATTCTCGCTATTTTCATAAACCCACTGTAAATCCTTTCGAGTAGCACCGACACCTAATGCATAAAGAATCACATCTCGTTCCTCATATGAACATTCGATTGGATCAAATTTTTGTTTCTTTGCCGCCTCTACATCAATTTTTCCAGATGAGGCAGATTTTTCTGTAGGCTCAGAATTTTCAGACGATTGAGCATTGGCAAAATTTTCAAAGAATTGTTGGAGAGCTTCTTGTGTAGTCTTAGGATGTGTGGCACGACCATCATAAAAATTAGTGATGGCATCCCATTTTGCAGCAAGGTCTTCTGGCAAAAGGGGTTTGGAAGTAGGAAAACCAATGCCACCGGAACGTTGCCAACGAACTTGGGCGATCCACCCACAACCAACTTCAAATACATTTCCAGTCGAAGGACATGATTCATGGGCAAGAAAACCAACAAGAGGTGCCACATAATCCGGTTTGAAGGCTTCAACCATTTCTGGTGGCCAAATAGTAGCAGTCATGCGTGTTCCGGCGGTAGGTGCAATGGTATTTACAAGAACATTGTTTTTACGACCTTCCAGTGCAAGTGTATTGCTGAACCCGAGAATTCCAAGCTTTGCTATAATTGAAAATTTTAATTTGTTAAAATTTATATTTTAAATTATAAAATAAATCAAATAAATATGAATTGGAAAAGTAATTATTATACCAGCACTGTAGTTAGCCTGTCCAAAGTTACCATAAAGGCCAACAGAAGAACATGTATTTATTACACGACCGTATTTTTGTTTGGTAAAGTAAGGCCAAGCGGCTTTTGTAACTTTATAAGTACCACGTAAATGAACTCTCTGTACTAAATCCCAATCTTCATCAGTCATTCTAGCAAAGGATTTATCTCTTAAGACACCCGCATTATTAATAATAACATCAACGCGCCCATAAGCCTTTATGGCAGTCTCAATTATTTTGTCGCCATCTTCCACAGAATCATAATTAGCCACAGCCTTACCGCCGGATTGACGTATTTCTTCAACAACTTTATCAGCAGCATTGGAAGATGATCTTGCTCCATGAGTTGTAACACCTAAATCATTTACAACGACGGAAGCACCCAATCGTCCGAATAGAAGTGCATAAGCTCTACCTAATCCACCACCAGCACCGGTAACAACGGCAACTTTGCCATCAAATCGAAGATCTTCGCCTTTAGGATTGGATGGTAAAGCGTTTGCTTGCTCAATTAAACTAACAAAATCAGCATCAGTTGTAGAAGTAGGATATTGTGGTTGAGAAAAATCCGTAATTTCGGGCCATTTCGGGACCACAGCACCCGGTAAAAATGATACATCAGTTTTAAATAGGGCGCCTTTAGAACGCTCCCACCGAAGTTTAGCAACAAAACCAGCACCAACTTCGAACAAACTACCACTCTCTTCAGTTGATTCATGGCATAAATATAGGACAAGAGGAGCAACATAATCAGGTTTGAGAGAAGCAAGAATATCTGGAGGCATTATAGTTTCTGTCATACGAGACGCAGCAATTGGAGCAATTACATTAGCTTTAATGTTGTTCTTGGCACCTTCTTTAGCGAGTGTTTCAGTGAAACTGACCAATGCTAGCTTAGCTATTTATTTTCGAACATTTTTATGATCAATAATAATGGCAAATTAATATTTTTTTGAAATTCAAATATAACCAAGTTCCGTTGTTATCGACTTAATTTATATCAACACCACCATTATTTCAATAATGATCATGACTTAAACCTGTAGATATTCTTTAAAGATATCAAATTTCATATATGAGTACTGCCAGGGAAAACCTTTAAGTAATGCATACTTTTTGAATATTTTTAATAGACATCTTAAATTAAGCATTGAACACTTATTATTTTAATATCATTTGAATCGTCTTAATGAGACGAATCGAATAATATTAAAACAATAAATGTTCGATTACTTGATTTTTTAAGATATTAAAAAAAAAAAAAAAAAAATAAGGCTTCCGAGTTTTCTCTTGGCGTCATTCATATATCATTTAGTTCTGGGGTGTCGATAGATGTTGATAACAACGATAATAACTTTAAATTACGTAATCCAAGGCTTAGAACGTTACCTGCACTGTAATTAGCCTGACCAAAATTGCCATAGATACCAGCGGCAGAAGCTGTATTGATAACTCTTCCAAATTTTTGTTTTTGAAAGAGACTCCATGCGGCTTTTGTGACCTTGTATGAACCACGAAGGTGAACTGTTTGAATTAAATCCCAATCTTGATCTGTCATTCTTGAAAATGATTTATCACGTAAAATTCTAAAAACAAATGATCGATTAATAAGGTAAAAAGATATCCTGATTGATCATGAAAAAAAAGAAAATAAAGTACATTATTCAATTATTACCCAGCATTGTTAATTACGACATCCACACGACCAAATGCCTTAACGGCGGTTTCAACGATTTTTTCACCATCATCTACAGAATTATAGTTTGCAACCGCTTTACCGCCGGCACGAACAATCTCATTTACAACTTTATCAGCAGCAAAAGTGTCAGATCCATCACCAGCTCGATTGCCACCAAGATCATTAACAACAACGTTAGCACCTCTCGCAGCGAAAGCGAGTGCATATGCACGCCCAAGGCCTAAATAAAAGAATTTTATTAAAACAATACCTCTCAGTAAACTTAAATATGGCAAACATTATTTCCACCCTTCTCAAAAAAAATGATGTACTTACCGCCCCCGGCACCAGTAACGATGACAGTACGTCCGTCGAACCGAAGTGTCTGTGTCATAGTTCTAACTATAAAACCTAATTGAATAAAGTGATTCATTCATAAATTCAATGGGTAAGTTTTTCAGTATCTCACCTCGTATTAGCCTGACAAGTAAGCTACATAAATTAAGAACAATGCAAGCTAAATCTTAATAAATATAAATTAGCTATGATAAATAATCTTATCGATCTGAAATTTGATGTTTGCTTACTGATTGGCGCCCTTACATAATATATCTAGGGGGATGTTAATCGGTCAGCCAATTTTAAGACTAATACAGTTATCGAAGGTTATTTATGTCACGCCCACGTGTTGCAGCACAAATTTTTTTATATATCATATCGTTTTATGATAATCAAAAGATATTTAATAATATATAGGTGGACACTAGTCAAAAAGAATGTACGTACAACGCTTATAAAAATAACTTTTATACAGTATATACGTACAACTTATTAACTGAAGGATTGGTTAATAAACGATAAGATTTTTTTTTTTTTTTTACAAAGCCATCATCTATACGCATTTTTGTATTTGAAACTATTTTTTAAGTTGATCCTATAACGTGCTTTTTTGGTGCATAACTGATAAACTATATGTTACATATACGTACATAATGCTTTACGTAAAAAGAATCGCCCTTAACCAATCTAGTAAAGACAGTTAGTAATTGATAACTGTCTGCAGGTTTGAGGTTCAACGGAGTATAAACCGGTGCTACGTATTATAATTTTGAACCTAAGTATATTAAAGCCTAACCTTTATTTTTATCGTAATTTTATCATTTCACCGATAATCAAATCTTAACCGGTAAAATAATATATTAATATTAATATATATTATAATACGTATACGTAGCATCTTCATTTATTGTGTAACGTTGATTTACTGTGCCAAGAGGACAATGATAAATTCAAGTCTTCGAACAAGTACAATTTTATGCTGATTTTAACTTACATTAACTTTCACCATGAGCGTCGCTTCGGAACTGTTCGAGTCTTATGAGCACGACTTTGACCAAATCTCTCAGTCCATTTCAACGAAAATAAACTCTACGCTTCCTTCACAATCTGGAGGTTTTCATTCTAGTTATTTAGTTATATTTAATTTAATTATTATATAAATTGTGTTATATTGACTATTCATTAATTGACATTGTAGAAAAACGTAAGGCTACAGTACGTGCGACCGAACGTGAAATCGATGAAGCCGAGGAAATAGTATGAATTTAATAAATTTCGAATTTTTATTGTTAAAAATAGTGTCAAATTTTTATTTAAAATTAGTTTGGACAAATGGAAATGGAAGTGTTGAATTTACAGCCTTCAACACGTACACGTCTTCAGGCTAAGATGAGAATTTACAAGAGTAATTTGGAAAAGCTGAAACGTGATTTGGTAATTTCTAGAATTCATTGGTTAAAAATTTTTTTTTGATCCTTTAAATATAATGATAATTTTTTAATCTTACAGAAAAAAGTTTCTGCGAACGATTCAGTGCCTACAGATCGAGACGAATTGCTTGCTGGAGCAAGTGCTACTGACCTTGATAGTGCTTCACTAGATCAGCGTGCCAGGCTTTTGAGTGGAACTGAACGACTTGCAGATAGTAGTAAGCGCTTACAAGAAAGTCATAGAATTGCTTTAGAAACTGGTGTGTTAATTATTCGTATCATAATTCATGTTTCATGTAAGTTTGTAATGGATTAAATTAAACTTTATGTCCTTTTTCTTTTATTGTATGTAGAAACCATTGGTGCTAGTGTACTGGATGATATTCGTAGACAAAGAGAACAGATCTTGCATACTAGAAATACTGTATTTATTTATTTATTTATTTGCGAAGCTTTTCTTCCTTTTTGATGAAATTTTTAAGCAAATTATAACTCAATAACCCTTTAGCTCATGGAAGCGGATTCTTATATCGATAAAGCACAACGCACTCTCAAGGGTATGACTCGCCGGTAAGATTTTTAAAAACTTGTTCAATTTTTTATGTAAAAGAATTTTATATGTAACTCCTTTATTTCTTATTTATAGAATGCAAACCAATCGGATGCTGACTGCTTCGATTATTTTTATACTTGTTGCATTAATCCTATTTGTACTTTATGTTAAGCTTTTCTGGTAGTTAAGAGTATTTTGCGATATACATGTATCACTATTGTTTTATTTATACACAAAAAATAATGTATATTAGGTTGATATCCTTTAAGTTTGGATCAATGTATAAAATTTTTAACATGTCTATTATAAATTTGTCTTTCACAAAGCATGTCCACATGATCAAATTACGTACGTACTAATAAAGGGTAATTCCCTGATATTATTCTTGGTTACGAAATATTGTTATTTGAAGAATGTCGATTTGTTTATTTCCTATTATAACCTTTTATTGGTCGTCTCATTAACAGTGATACAGGATTTTGATACTTTAAAGTTTATATATAATAAAGTACTAATTTTTTTATATTAATTA